CAAAAAAGAGACAGAAAAAGAGAGAAAAAAGGAGACAGAAAAAGAGACAAAGAGAGACAGAAAGGGAGAGAGAGACAGAGACAGAAAGGGAGATAGAGAGAGAGGCAGAAACAGAGACAGAAAAAGAAACAGAAAGAGAAGGAGACAGAAGAGCAGATAGATGAGACGGAGACAGAAGAGGAGAGGAGACAGAAGAAAAGGAGACAAAAAGGAGACAGAAAAAGGAGACAAAAAGGAGACAAAAAGAGACAAAAAGGAGACAAAAAGAGACAAAAAGAGACAAAAAGGAGACAGAAAGGAGACAGTGTGTATATACCTCAAAGCGGCAGTTTATTTTTTTCCAGCAGTTATCGCATTGCCCATTACAAACAGCAGCAGCAGCAGCAGCAGCAGCAGCAGGAGGATCAGCACCTGCTGCAGCAGCAGCAGCAGCAGCAGCAGCAGCAGGAGCAGCAGCAAGAGGATCCTCCCCCAGGGCCCTAAGCAGCAGCAAACGCCGACACCCATCGGCCTCACAAAACGCCTGCATCTCTATAAGGCCCCTTTTCTTTATTTCTTCGTTTGTTAGTGGAAAAGAAGCAGCAGCAGCAGCAGCAGCAGCAGCAGCAGCAGCAGCACATCCTGCTGCTCCTGCTGCTGCTCCTGCTGCTGCTGTAGCTGAACGGGACTTGAAACGGCCACGACCTCGGCGATGGGGGGCCCCCGGGGGGCCCCCAGGGGGCCCCCAGGGGGCCCCCTGGGGGCCCCCCTGTGCATGCAAGCGAGCTATGCGGGTTGCATCCGAAGGTAAATAAAATAATATACAACGAGAGGGGAGACCATCACGGCCAGCTCTGCCTATCTCTTGGTAATATCTGTATAGAGAGAGAGAAAGAGAGAAAAAGGAGATAGAGAGGAGACAGATGGAGAGAGAAAGAGATAGAGAGAGAAAGAGATTGAGAGAAAAAGGAGACAGAAAGGAGAGGGATAGAGAGAGAAAGAGATAGAGAGAAAAAGAGAAAGAGAGAGAAAGAAAGGAGACAGAGAGGAGACAGAAAGGAGACAGATATAAAGAAAAAGAGATAGAGAGAGAAAGAAAGGAGACAGAAAGGAGACAGAGAGAAAGAAATAGAGAGAAGGATGACGGTCAATGCCAGCTCTACAGCAGCAGCAGCAGCAACAGCAGCAACAGCAGCAGCAGCATCATCACCATCAGCAGCAGCAGCAGCATCAGCAGCAGCAACAGCATCACTATCCGCAGCAGCAGCAGCATCATCGTCATCATCATCACCACCATGAGCAAAAGCAGCAGCAGCAGCAGCAGCAGCACCAGCACCAGCATCACCAGCAGCACCAGCAGCGCCAGCACCCGCAGCACCAGCAGCAGCACCAGCAGCAGCAGCAGCAGCAGCAGCAGCAGGAGCAGCAGCAGCAGCAGCACCAGCAGCAGCAC